TGTGAGAAGACTAAGAAATGTACAGGCAATCTTATGGTGAAAGAATTTTGAAAATCGGTTGGTAAACAATTGAAATATGAACGTGTAAACACAAAATTGTGATTGCTGCGTTTCCCGCACCGGCCGAGCCTGCCTCAGCCGGCGACATGTTACTCTTAGCAGGCCTCTAACTGCCATATTTATTATTGGATTAACTAGAAATTCCCCATACATACTAAAAAATGTATGTTCTTTCGGATAGTGAAGATCAAAAGACGTGAAGATATCGTTGCGTGATAATGTTTTCGTTGAATTTACTTCATGATGCATTTCCACACGGCTCAAAATTCACCGCAAAATACCGTTTGCCTGAGACACTTTTACTATGGAACGTGAATGCTTGACTACGATGACTATGCATTTCCATTCTCGCAGAGTTTGGGATATCACTAATCAGCAATCATTCATTTCAGAAAGTGTACACATTACACAAGCAAGCATGTCTTGACTCTGTCTTTCAAGGTCACGCGCGGTTGCGTGATGTTGATGCATGAAAACGGCGTTTGCCGCGAAAGTTATGAATGGCCCACTCCAATTTTTTCACAGATGGTTGGGAACATTGTGACGGACATAATATGTAAAAATTACCCAAATCTAAGGTGACGTGTTTTTTGCTATTTAAATTTTTCTGTTTTAATTCAAGGTCAAATGCATTTCAAGGTCACTTCAATTTAATTTTATAATTAAAAATCAAAGCCTTATCAATTGCCTATAAGACCCTGTTAATATCATTTTGATACCAGAAAAGGAACCAGAGTTATAGCCATTTAAAAAATTGATGTGTGGCATTTTTCGCTATATTCGATGACCTATATCTCAGCGATACGTTATCAAATTTCGAAAATATTATACGTAACTCAGTTTTGAACCATGCCCAGTCTGCCTACAAATTTTCAGAAAAATCGAAGGGGATGACGGATTTCGGTGTTTGATTTGACGTGGAATGCCCCAACTGTAACAGCGTATCTAAACTTAACTTATTGCTGTATGGTAGAGGCCTCAACAAAAACGATCAGATCAAAGTAGCGAAATTATTCCAAAATTATATTATCAAAACTAAAAGATTCCAGAACCAATAGCATCCAGCGGCGGACGGCGGGCCGGACGGTTCGTCGTGTCGCCTGGTGGTAGCAACTTTAATTTCAACCAGCGAGCGGTGGGAGTGGCGCGGCTAGGCGGTGGTCAAACAGACTTGTTTTCATATTATGTTGTGTTTTTTATGTAATACTCATGTTTATTTTATACTGATTGATTAAGAGAGGTGCTTTAATTTAAGAATTTTTATTCTTTTGCACCAATCTTATAATATTTTTTGTGTATGTTTTGCTCATTTGTAATGTTGAAAATAAATGTGTATGTATGTATGTATGATATTCAATTTTCGTGACCACTGACCTAGGATGACCTGGCCTCGACCTGAAAAATTCAAAGCAAAAGTTCGGTACCCTCAGGGTATCTAAGGCATATGTATATCAAGGAGTGCGTAACAAAAAATGAGCCTGATCAGACTTGTCAGCCGGCGACCAGAGCACCGTGGGGACTTATGCCATCCTAGCACGCATTAAGTGGCAAGATAAAGTATTTCGATTTCCACTTTTTTGTTATTCATTCCACGTAAAATTGTCCAGCGCATCCGAATCAAGCCTTCAATCGTCTGTAAAATGATTGTTTATGCCTCAAAAAACCTCTCAAAGTGTAGCTTCGTCCTGACCAGCGTCGTGCTACCTGCATACAGCGAAAAAGCACACTACAATAAAACGCCCTCTCACTCGTTTCCCTGAACAGCAGGTTATAGTTGCGACATGTTTTCATTATCTTTGACTTATAAGGAAGCTGATGGCATGCACGAAAATTTCCAAAATTTATCCAAATGTATAATTTTTGACCGAAATGCTAAAAATGCTAAAATGCTTCTTGATTCACAGAGTTGACAAGCAAACTATTGCCTTACAAAGTTTGATACGCGGTGTTACGCGTGGAAATGTATATCAAAATGTTCTCCAATAATTTCTGCATCGGGGGCAGCTCTCATTTTTTGCCGAAATTTGCCTAAACCAGTCACTATGAGACATCAAAGCAGACGGTGCCGCGTGGTTTCTTACGCCCCGCCGGGCCGCGCCGCGGCGGGTTACCCGACCGCAGCACACCGCCTGGGGGTTTCCGGTCAGTATAGGAGTTGGGAGGAGGGAGGAAGGGGTGATACCATGTTGACATTATTTTTCTATCGCCAAATGTTCTTTTTGAACAAAACAACAACACCCTTGCAACGCTACGTCCATTTTATTGGCTATCGCCGCCAATGTTCACCTTATTGAACTTCAGTACAAAGCTTTGATATAGGTAAATCGAAAAATGCTGTAACTTTGTCAAGTGAGGTTGGAGGTTTTTGGGGTGCTAATCACGAATTTCAAGCTAGTTTTGATCGAGGATGATGTTTTCATGCTAGGCCGGGTCAGGTCAGGTCCGACCAGTAGGTGTCTTGCCGGCTATCCATAGAAGGTAGGCGTCGATTACCTTTAACGGCTTCGTAGCATGTTCCGTTAGGCACCAAAACTACTTAAATCTTCAAATGGGTGTTAAGTTCGAAATAAGCTCCAAGCACTTATCTAGAAAAATCGTATAACTTGAAAAAGTCAACTAAGGTCATCCAAGGTAAATGACCTTGATATGACCTTAACGTGACCTTAAAATGCAGAGAATAAACAGCATTTCATACCTTGGAGAGTTAACAACCACAACAAGACTGGATACGCGCCGATAATGTGCGCTGATAAGCGCCAAATCGATACCAGCCTGACATGGTCTGGTGAAACAGGTCACAGGTCAAATTTTTATTAAGGTCAAGGTCATGAAATTTTAAGTGTGTGAGTAACATTGATCGAATCGAAGGTATAGAAAGTTTCGTCGTGATCCGCCACGTTTTGCTTGAGTTAGTATGCGAAAAGTCGAGGACAGAAGTCTGTGCAACCCCCTCCCCCTTTAAAAGTGCTAGGACTAACAAAGTGCAAAGGTCAAGCCCGAAATCCCTTTTGGTGATTGGGCTAGACATGAACAAATATCTACTTCTAAAACGATTGTAGTTTCGTTCTACTTTTTTAACGCTTCCACGCCCACGATGCATTGCTAGCCGAAAACGCTTCAGTGCTAAGTCCGTGGGGAGGGGGCGGGGGAGGGATGGGGTCAAGCAGGAGAGCCAACCATGTTGTCAGGGATCATACACCCTAAGCCTAACCATTTGAAGGTGAAATAAAATTAGTTAAGGTAGCGGAGGATGCGATATAAATAAATTCGTGCTAGGATCGATATAAACCCCACAGTGCAGAGGCTAAATTGTAAACAAGCAAAAATGCCGACACTTTTTATTTTGACCTGACCTGTGACGTCATCGGTGACATTGAGGTGAATGAAAATAGGTTTTGCTGGACAGTTTTTCGAGGGCTATCAGACGCCGTTTGATTTTTGACGATCGGCCCAGTAGTTTCGGAGATAGGAGGGGGTTCTGGAGAGCCCCCCCCCCCCCCCCCACAGTCACTCGCGTTATGGAAAATACCCCAGTCATGCGCGGGTTAACATAAGTTTTGAGTTGAGGTAGCCCAATTGGGGTCCCTGGCTTGCAATTACCGGTTTGGGCACTCACAACATCGAGAAATGCTTTAATTCCGAGATATTTTATTTCAAAGTCAGCAGTTTTCGAATTATAAGGGGCTTAAGGAATTTGAATACATACCCCTTAGAATTTGTGACGTCAGCGCAGATCTAGCGATTTTTAAACCTTATACTCGTGGTGGCATCCACTATATCCAGACACGAACCCAGGAATTTGCTCTGTAGGGGAGAGTGGGGCAAAGCGGCCACCCTAACGCTTCTCACGATGCCAACGCTTGATTTTTAAACTTGGAAAGATTCTTTCTATACCAATGTGATCCCTATTAAGTTGCCTTTTATTTCAACTGCGTTTTATTTCCAAAGGTGTTAACATATGAAAGATATTGACAAAACTTTAAACCTATGCATATTGGCCACTTTGCCCCATACCCTGGGGCAAAGCGGCCACCGGCGTCTTCTCAAGTCCCGATATGAGAAACAAAATAGTTGCCTCGTGTACGACTAGGGTATTTGATGGTGACAAGGTTAAGCGAGGATGGATGTTTACTTTATCATCTTCCACCTGTAGGTAAACAAAGAAAGGATTTTTATGAAAATAAACATTTAGTTGCATTATTTGATAACTCATGCAACTGAAAAGTGGCCAAGATGGATGCATGACGACACATTTGAATATAAATAATATTTTTTATCCAGATGGAAGCCACTTATGGCCAATTGGGGGGTGGCCACTTTGCCCCGGCCACTTTGCCCCGCGCATACCGTCCGAGACAAAAATATTCCAGCTTAGCTATTAGTGGGGTAAAAAAACATTAAAATTGGTAGAATACATGTACGATAACCATGCAATGCATGGACAAGAACGCTTATAAAAATTCCAAACGGTTATGGAATAACATAACATTTAAAAATTGTAAACATTGCAGGTAACCTGGCAAGAAATGCTTTTCCGTGTTTCACAGAAAAATGGTGATGGGCCTGAAACCCCGGTCTGGCTCATTCGAACGACCGTGAAGAGAAGTATAATTGGAAACCATAAATTGGAACTGACGACAGCTATGAAGGGCTAAAACTATGGGTGGCCGCTTTGCCCCGGGTGGCCGCTTTGCCCCACTCTCCCCTACATAGTACATACCCACGGCTGTCCCCGCTCTGTACACACCCACGGCTGTCCCATCTCGGTACACACCCACGGCTGTCCCATCTCGGTACACACCCACGGCTGTCCCCGCTCTGTATACACCCACGGCTGTCCCATCTCCGTACACACCCACGGCTGTCCCCGCTCTGTATACACCCACGGCTGTCCCATCTCGGTACACACCCACGGCTGTCCCATCTCGGTAAATACATACCTGCGCCCACGGCTGTCCGATTTCGAGCATGTCTCCGAGGCGGACCAGAAACGTGATGCCGACCCTGTGGTCCACGGAGTCGCCGGCCTGCTTTCTGCCGGCTCCCAACGCGGCACACACGCGGGCCACCGCCAGCGCGTCCACGGCGTGCACGAAGCCTGTGAGCGTACGGTCGGACGGACGGTCACCGGACTGACGGATGGACGGTCACTGGGCCCCCGCCGTGCAGGTGGGTCTCCTACTACACGGCGGCCGAGCGCCACAGTGAGTGGAAAACAAAGCATTTGAACAAAAACTATCGGATTTCCTGGCAAAATGAGGTGTTGGCGGCCGGCCGGCGTTCGGAGCGCCAGTCAGCGCTGTCTGAGTTAGGTATCCAGTGCTGAGGCACCGACCACGCTGTCTGCAGGGCCGCCGTCGCTCCGCTCAGAGCCGGCGCCAGGGCTCACCTGCGTCCGTGGCACACACGTCCTCGATGGCCGGCGCGCGCGGCAGCACCGTCCACTCGTCTCCGTGACAGAGCTGGTGCGCGTCCGGCTCGCTGACACCCTGGCACACCAGCATCTGTCGGAACTTGTCCAGCGCCGAGCCGTCGGCCAGCGCGCGCGCCACCAGCTGGGCGCCGTGCTGGGCCGAGCCGCGGCCGGCCAGCTGCACCAGCTGGCCGCCCAGCGCCGTGACCAGCTCGCGCAGGTCGGCGGCGCCGCGGCCGCGCAGGCAGCGCACCGCCTCGGCCACCTCCAGCGCGTTGCCGACCGTCTGGCCGATGGGCGACTCCATGCTAGTGATGAGCGCCGCCGTGCTGATCCCCATCCCGTTCGCTGTGTCCACCTGTCGAGAACGGGCCACTGCGGTACACCACCGGTACTGCACTGGGTGTACTGCAGTGTTACTCCACTGTACACCAACAGCAACGCACAGAACACCAACAGTACTGCTCTGTGGGGTGAAGCGGTACTGATCTGTGGAGTGAGGCGGTGAAAGGTCCCTGCTATTCTGCTCTGTGTCAGTGTGGTGGAGCGGTGATGCTCTGTGGGGTGGATGGAGGTCCCGGCGGTACTCTGCTATATGGTCCCAGAGGTACTAGGTAGGTACTAGGTATGTTCTCTGCTGTGAGCCCCGGCAGTCGGGCATACTCACCAGCCCCGGCAGTCGGGCATACTCACCAGTCCCGGCAGTCGGGCATACTCACCAGCCCCGGCAGTCGGGCATACTCACCAGTCCCGGCAGTCGGGCATACTCACCAGCCCCGGCAGTCGGGCATACTCACCAGCCCCGGCAGTCGGGCATACTCACCAGCCCCGGCAGTCGGGCATACTCCCCAGCCCCGGCAGTCGGGCATACTCACCAGCCCCGGCAGTCGGGTATACTCACCAGCATCCTGGCGATCTCGGCGGCGTGCCTGGCGTCCCGCTGGAACGCCCCGGCGCCGTACTTGACGTCCAGCACGAGCGCCTGCAGACCCTCGGCGGCCTTCTTGCTAACGATGGACGCTGCAGGGTCCGGGTAGGGTCAAGCTCATGATAGCGACCAAGAAGGTTGTACGTCCGGTTGCCGTTTTATACGAGCACCAGCTTTTTTAGAGCCGGGTCGCACTAACTGGCATCCATAGACGCTGCCGTTGTGGACAGACTTCGGTAGAAGATGGCCATATGGCCGGGAGCGAATGGGTTCACGGGGTGCAGACATTGCACATGTGACCTTCTACGTGTAGTGTAGCATGTAGGTACGCCGTATCCTGATTTAAACGAGGACAAAACATGGCCCGGTTCATGGGCATGTCCCCAGTGCCAGTGGTACAGCCCAGCATGATTGGTGTTGGATTCGGCAAATGAGCATCATTGATCTAACATTAGCTTCAGCAGACGACTCGCGTCAGAACATAAACACCCGCAAAGGCGTCCTCTTTTTCAGCCAAGCAAGCAGACAGTAGCGGCGGAACACTTTAATTAACCCTCGCATGTGTGCGGCGTTTGCCAGCTTCTAATGTGTAGGGGGGGGGTCGGTTGGACCCCCCCCTTGCCGTTTGGCCCCTGATCGAGCTAGAGCTTCGCGGAAAAAACGAGCGTGTTGCCCGTGACGAGAGGAAGCCGATGATACCCAATTTTAAGGTCCTAGGTCATTGGTTGACCTTCCAGGTCAGGTCAATGACCCAAAGTCGGGAAAATCGGGACCTGTTAGAAAGTCGTAAAGTGTGGCTGCTAAGGGGTTTTTCGGGGTGCTGATCACGAATATCGTGTTAGTTTTTATCACAGATGATGTCTTGAAGCATTTAGACCAGGTCGGGTCAGGTCAGGTCAGGTCAACCAGTAGGCGTCGTGACGGGTATTCGTAGTACGTGTCAACCGCCTCTGACAGCTTCGTAACATGTTACGAAGTCACCAAAACTACTTCGTAAATGTTCAAATGGTTGCTAAATTCGAATTCAGCTCCAAAAACTAGCCTAGAAACATGTAAAACTCGAAAAAGTGACCCGAGGTCACCCGAGGTCACCAAAGGTCAATGACCTGACCTGACCTTCAGGTGACCTTGACACACACGGGAGTAACATCAAATCACATGTTTGAACGTTTGAAACCACGAAAAGCTTGCAAACACGCGGCTAGTGCGAGCCGACATACGCGAAATCGCGATTCCGGCCAAACATGGTCTCGGAAAAGAGGTCACAGGTCAAAGGTCATTTGGGTCAGGGTCATGAAATTTTCAGGGTAGGTGTCAAATTGATCAATGCGAGGGTACTGAAAGTTTTGTCGCGATCGGCCGCTTTTTACGCGAGTTATTCGCGAAAAACCATGGGGGGGGGTCCATCCGACCCCCCCCCTACACATGCGAGGGTTAAGGGGGGGGGGGGCGGGTGCACTGTCGACTTTTGGTCCCATTCTTTCCATGCATGCAACGCCCATAGGGCTAATGTTAAAATGGCAAAATCAAGGGGGCACGGTGCCCCGGTGCCCCCCCCCCCCCCCCCCGTTCCGCCGCCTATAGAGTCTGACTCTTGCCACTCCCCGCCGAGTCTGACTCTCACCAGACCTCCCTACTCCCCGCCAAATCCGACTCACACCAGACCTCCCCACTCCCCGCCAAATCCGACTCACACCGGACTCCACGAAACAGAGTCTTACCAGACTCCCCGCAGGTCTCCTCCCTGACAGAGTCTGTCGCTCACAGCGGTTATATAGCCCTGCTCACAGCACAGCACAGTACAGCACAGCACAGCACAGCACAGCACAGCACAGAACACACGCACACACACGCAGACTATCCCCCCTCCTCCCCCCCCCCCCCGGCTGGAACTCACAGCAGATGAGCGGTGCCGAGTCGACGGTGTGAGTCACATCGCGGCTGGCGTAGAGCACCCGGTCGGCCGGCACCAGCGTCTGGGTCTGGCCGACGATACAGCAGCCGACGCGCTCCAGACAGGCGCGCATCTGACCGGCCGTCTGACTGACGCTGAACCCTGCAGTGGCCAGCGGGGACCGCGGAACAGACCGGAGAACGGGCCGCGGAACAGACCGAAGAACGGGCCGGGGAACGGCGACTCCGTCAGTCCGGCGTCAGAAATGAGCCAACACTATCGAAAACACTCAGAATCGTCAGCAAACGTGCACTCCTTGCAACGTCCTTGCAAGGTGCAAGGCCTTTGTGTTCTCGGATAAAGGCTGACTGCTGATAAGCCAAAACTGAATAGCCAAAATAATGTTGATAGGTGGACAATATCGTCGTTCTCCAGCACTTTCACTCGTTGTACCCACCTTCTCCCGCAACCATCATCTCAAGCCAGGTCCTGAACCTGCCGCACGCACGCTTAACCCGCGCCCCGCTGGGGGGGGGGAGGGGGCAGAATCTGCCCCCCTCCCGTTTTTCGCCAATAACTTCTAAACGCGTTACGCCAGCGACGTCAAATTTTCAGTACCTTATAATACATCAATTTTAGACGTTTCCTGAAAATTGGAGCGAAATCCGTCGGAACTTTTTGAGAAAATGACGTTTTAGTGGCGTCATGTCCGCCATTTTCGCAAAAAAAATGGCAAAATTTCAAACGCCGCTAACATCTTCATCTTTAAAGGAACCAAGACGTAACAAAAAAGGTTATACGTGATTCTACTTTGTCTGTCAAATGGCAATCTCGGTTTTTTGAAACTTTTAGATTTTGGCCCAATTTTTTTCTAAAAAAAACTGATTTTTGGGGGAAAATAATTATAAAATCCAAAATTTTGATAGTATCAAAAAACCGGAATAAATGTCAGAGAAGTGGTCTATGTGCACCTACATACCAATTTTTAGAAGAATCCGTTCAAAAATGTGGGAGTTATTCAAAATTGTATGACGTCATGACACACAAAATTTTTGAAAATGATTTTTTTGGAAGTGTTAGACCTCGTACGGAAACAAAAATAGCACCATTCGATTCGATTGGCCGTGAAAAACTGCATCAGATAGACACCTTTTTAGGCCTTAACCCGCGCCCCACTGGGGGGGCTATTCATAGCCCCCCCCCCCTCCCGTTTTTCTGCAATAACTTCCAAACCGCTCGACGTGTTGACGCCAAACTTTCAGTACCTTCGGCTGCATCAATTTGATACCTTATCTTATGACCTAGGACCTTAAAAGAAGGTATCATTGGCTTCCTCTCATCACGGGCAGCACGCTCGTTTTTTCCGCGAAGCTCTAGCTCGATCAGGGGCGAAACGGCAAGGGGGGTCCAACGGACCACCCCCCATACGTTCGCGGCTGGAAAAACACCAATACGGGCGAGGGTTAAAAGTACCGCGCAAAGTAACGGTGGATCCATCCAGCCTGACCGAGGAAGGGCCTGCTAAATTTGAGTCACCGAAGCAATTGACATCTTCGTCCATCCCCCAGCTCAATTGGTTCGGTGACTTTCAAATTATAGCATTCCTCGGTCAGGCTTGATGCCAACTTTCAGCGCAGTCGGCCGAGTAGTTACCAAGATATTGCAATTGTTACAAAACCGACACCTCTTCGTTTTGCACGTAGCACGTGCATAAGGGGTCACCCACATGCATCGGGAATAATCCAATACTTGGTAGAAGGAATGAAGCTACCCTACAAAAATAACCGCAAGTAAATCGGTCAAGTAGTTGCTGAGATATAAGCCTCGCAAAAGCGTGACCACGACCGGCCGGCCGCTCATACTCAGAAATTTCCGTTAATCTACAAAAGAATTCGCTCGCTCCGTAATCAAGACGGTAAGTTAGAGCCCGGAGGAGACGCAGTTGCACTCCCTCCGCGGCAGTTACACCCTCCCCACCCCCCACAACTAAGTAAAAAAGACATGCCCCGTACCTACTGTAGCCTTGCCTTCTGACATTTTCACCGTCATCGTCTTTTTGCGTCCCCAGAAGTCCCACCCAGCGCATCTCTCTAAATTTCATACGGTCCTCCGAGTGCCCCCATGTCTTTTCTAGGCCAATTATCACATATATCAACATGGCACCCAAGACAATCATCATAATGGTTCAACATTGGCAAAAGAAGCGAAAACCGAAAGCGTATTACTTAATTCAACATAAGATTGCTTGTTTGAAAATGATGGCACAGTGTTATAATGTGGCCTACCAATGTAAAAAAAAATAACGCAACTTCGATGAAATTCTTTGCTCATTATTTGCATTCATTCAACTTGGAGATATAGGCCTCCAGGCTCCAGCCTCCAAAGTTCGATAAGTTTTTTGGGCCACCCGGTGCGTTTTCTTTAAAGGGACACTCCCACCTTAACATTAGTTTTGAGTTGAGATAGCCAAATTGGTGGCCATGGCCTGCAAATACCGGTTTGGGCACTCACAACATCGAAAAATGCCTTAATTCGAAGATATGGAATTTCAAACTTGCAGTTTTTGGATTCTAAGGGGCTAATGCATTGGAATGCCCCCTTAGAATTTGTGACGTCAGCGGAGATCTAACGATTTTTAAATCTTAGACTAAAACCATCGTTAACACGTGGTGGTATACGCTGCTTTGCGCGCAACGTCTGCCGCACTTTAAGGCTGCCAAATTATTGCTTCCAAATAAAGTCGCTAGTAACAGGGGAGATCCCAAAAAGTAAACAAAAGTAAAAGCCTAATATCTTGAAAACCAGTGAATATTTTTCGGTGAAATTTGGTAGATATTCGTTTTCGCTCTTTCTGAACTAAGGGACATCACTTTCATGCCAATTCATTAACTTTTTTGAAGGTGGGAGGGTCCCTTTAACGATCATGTCGGTGCAGTGGGCCGTGAATCTGACTGCTGTCCCGTGGCGTACCTGGAATGGCCTCCAGTTTGTCGAGCGTTCCGCCGGTGTGGCCCAGGCCGCGGCCGGACACCATGGGCACTTTGAAGCCGAGCGCGGCCAGCGCCGGCGCCAGCGGCAGCGACACCTTGTCGCCGACGCCACCGGTGCTGTGTTTGTCGACCACGGTCCAGTCGTCGGGCCAGCGGAGCACTTCGCCCGACCGGGTCATGGCCGCCGTCAGCTGGGTCACCTCGCGCTGCACCATGCCGCGGGTGTAGATGGCCATCAGCAGAGCGCCTGCCGACGACACACGCACACGCACACACACACACACGCACACACAAAACGAAATATGTGTGAAAGAGAAAATCAGTCCTGAAAGTTTCACAATGATAGATGCTATTCGAATTAATCTCATTCAAGGAAAACGACATTTTTCAAATGATTTTTTTTTTCATTTTCACGGGGCAGTTTGCTCAGATGCTCTTTGATCCTCTGCCGTTCACTGTTCACTGTTGGCGTTTTTAATCCGGTGGCCATGAGTAAATACTGGCCGGCCGTGAACCGCTACTATAATGCTTCCACTGGTAATAGTCTGGACATATTGGTGAGGACCGGGCAATTATAATGATACAACCAATACCTATATAGCCTCAAAAGCGCTAGGTAGGTACCTATTTACACTATTTTTATTTCGTCACCTTGCCGTCGCACAGGAGTGCTGATCGACAACTCCGCTTCGGTTCCTGTTTTGTTTAGATACGAGCCCTGGGTCGCTTCACTTCCGTTAAGTTGTTTGGGCCATGTGTCAGCTTTGACATTCCTGTGTAGTAATCCAAACATCTAGACTCCCGGAAAAACGTACTCAGCTGGCCAGTCCAGCGAATTCACAAGGCCAAGCATTTCTTCGGGTACGAAAATGTGCTGTAGGTACCACATGCATTCCAACGTATAGTATAGTCACGGACTTATAAATAAACCTATAAACATAAAAAGTTTATTTATACGTCCGTGAGTAAAGTTCGTTTTTTCACAGGGGAGCACTGCCGCTTCAACCCTATTGGCCGTAGTGTCTAACGGTGGCGGCCATATTGCGCAGACCAAGAACCGGCTGCCGCCTGTGTTGAGGAATAGGGAATTCGGGACCTCGATTTACGTTTGCGGCCGCCGTATCCGTTACGATCAAGTTACGTGGATACGGAGCCCGGCACCTTGCGCAGAATTGAGTGGGGAACACGATCGTATCTTCAGAATTCCTCAAATTCACTCGCCGGACCTACATTTGCCCCGGCCGAGGGGGTTGATTGAACCTACATCGCTAATGCGCCGCTAATTAAACTAGAATTAAGCGGTAAAGTGGTCGTATGCGGCAAAGTATAACGCAGAGTGACTGGTAGAAACCCGCTTTAAAGGTCTCAGGTCAACCGGTGACCTCTGAGGTCAGGTCAAGTGATCTAAGGCACGGGTTCGGTTTTTGGTAAATAACTTCGCCAAAAATGGCCGTAGAGCCGCGATTTTGCCATCATCGTGCTCAGCTAGCTCAGGCGCATCGAGTGATATACTTTTTGTTCGGGTCAGGTCAACTTAGGGTGTTGACCTCAGGTCAAGGTCAGGTCAGCACCCACAGGTCACGAAATTGGTCGAAAGAGGTCATGTCGCATATCATTCGATTCGGCAGGTCTTCCTGAGTCCATTGGTGGCTTTCCCGACTCGCTAGCTCAATTTGATCGAGAGTTATTGAAGAAAAATTGTGACCCTTGTGACGTCACAAATGACGTCACGCAAGGGCAACAATGCAAATATGAAGCATAGAACCTTGCAAGGAGTGCATGAAATCATGATTCTATTTGCTTGAGATAGTTTCAGATCATTCTCGGCGCCAAAATAGCAATTTTCATATTTCCCCATTGACTTATAAGCGTTTAACGTATTAGTTCCTTGTAGAGCAGCTGAGGATTTTTTAGGATTTCATCGGCGGCACCGTTGGACACCATCTGGCGCCGATGCGCCTTCCACATTTCTTATCGGGGTTACATGAGCACAGTAAATACGTATTTAGCCGCTAATTCGAATTAGGAACGCATTACCGACTCATGTAGCCACCTGCTAGTACGAATCGGCGATCCGATCCGCGGTTACATGAGCAAAGCAAATACGTATCACGATCGGATTCACCGCTAATGCGAATCAGGAGCGTACTACCGACTCATGTATCCACCTGCTAATACGAATCGGCGGTCCGAACAAAATCCGCAGGGAAAGAGGCTTAGAAGCGAATAGGACCAAGATACGCATTACAGGAACTATTTCTTTCCAAAAAGAAACATTAAAATGCAAAATAATAGGTATTTTTTTTCATTTGCTTCTTTTGAAATAATAATTAAAAAAACTATGTCGGTATTTTGTCAAGTTTTCAAAAATAAATATAGTGAAAACCAAAAAGAAAATATCAAAGTACTTTCAGTTGAAACATTTTTCTGACAGCACTACAGACGAATCAAGAGAGGCAAGTGCTCAATGAGTCAAAGCAAGACAACTTTATGTTTAACTTTTTTGTTAAGTTAATTGAGAATGTTTTGAGCAGATTAAACGCAAAAAAGGCATAAGATATTAAGTTTTTAATTCAGTCACCTCTATTGCTACGGAAGTGCGCCACATTTGTATGCTATTCCGTTTGTAATGCGCATAGGGCCGAGAGCCAAACTAGATCCGTTTGACGTCACTGATACGAATTTGCTCATGTAGTCGGTGCACTGAATGCGTTCTTGGGGAGCTGATGCGAATTAGCGTAGTGCGTATTTGGAACGGATCGCTCATGTAACCGAGGCACACGATTCGGGCCGTATTTCACAAGAACTATTCTTTGCTTACTGGAAGCGTCAAAATGCAGAATACTAAGCATTTTTTATTGGCTGCCTCGTAGAAAATAGCAAAAAAAAATGTTGGTATTTTGGTTTAGTCTTTGCATGTGAAATAAAATGAATGAAATATTTTGATAGATATTTTTTTCTGACCACCCTGCTTTCGCTGCATGGCGAATCAGTGCCCACTGACTTAAAACAAGAAAACTTTGTTTTCATTTTTTGATTTCATGTTAATTTCAAATGTTTTTGAGCCTATCAAATGATATAAGTATTTAAAATTTAGTTCAGTCGTCCCGGTAAATGCCGCAACTGCGCCATGACTGTACGCTAATCCTATTCCGTTTGTGATACGAATTACCGGCCGTCGAGGAGTCAGCCCGGGTGAGCCAACAAGATCCGTTTGACGTAGATAAAACAAATTAGTCTCATGTAACCGGTGCCGTAGATACGTTTGTGGGGAGCTGATGCGCATTAGCGTAGTGCGTATTTGGAACGGATCGCTCATGTAACCCCGGTAATAGAGTTCAGTTTTTTTTTCAAAAGGACTCTGGCTCCAAGTATGTTTTTCGAAAAAGCACGCGTTTCAGCGAGCAAAACGAGCAAAAACTGAACCAGAGAAAGTCTAACGTCGCCTAATTTTAACATGTGAATTATTCCCAATAATTTCCATACGTGCGTTTTGGAACCAGATATGAGAACAGTGATGACGTCATGCTGTCGAACTTGTATTGCAATGTAACGTATAACTACCATGGACGAATCCGCTTACTCGATTATAACCTCGGGAACAGTGAAAAACGAAGTTTCCCCCAAATTCGTCGAAACTTTGTCCTATCTTACGGACATTGGGTCACGGACGTATAAACTGGACTGACAATCCCAATGCACCTCCTATGGAAGATAGTGAAGCCGACAAGGCGCCATTTAACGTTGCCAAAAAAAAACGTGCCGTGAAAGGTCATCGAGCCAATACAATTGGAATTGCGTCTAAACGGATGATCGGATCGAGATGCTGGTGGTACCGTTCGACGTGTAATGCCGGCAGGTGATGATACATGCCACATGTCACCCGGTTTCACGAGGCGCGTGTTACGTGCCGTCGTGCCGACAAACTCAGGAAGGGCAAAAATCTTTCCGCGACGTTTCAAATCAAACGGAGGGCGGCACAGGTGCCAAACTCACAGGTCACATGTCCCGGTGTTTGACCACTAACATATGGTATGCCAGGTACCGGGGGGTGCGAAATGCACGTGCTAGGGGCGAAAACCATGTTTTTAGGAGGCATCCTCCGATTCCGGAAATCCTCGACCTAGGCACACCAAATTCGGCACACTGACACTACTGGACAAGCGTTTTAAGGTGCTGTGCAAATAGGTGTGCTGAGGTGCACGGTGTGCGACGTGCGTGCTGTGCGCGTGCAATCCTTTTAATGTTGCACCTCGTGTCACGTATGCGGGTAGAACGGGTAGCGCTGGCATGTTCAAGGAGTCAAATTTACACAGGCCACACAGAATCCTCGTACATTGCAGCAACGTCATTGAGTATCAGGGGTAGCCAGTAACAGTTGGTAGCATTAGGCCAAATGGGCGCTCAAAAACTACTACCTACCCCATAGGGTTTCCATGTTAAATCGACCTTTTTCAAGCGAGCCCCATACGTAAGCTAATTACGGAGCGAGCGAAGCGAGCGTAGTCTTTCCTTAGATTAACGGAAATTTCTGAGTATGAGCGGCCGGCCGGCCGTGCGGACGCTTTTGCGAGGCTTATATCTCAGCAACCACTTGACCGATTTACACGCGGTAATTTTTGTAGGGTAGCTTCATTCCTTCTACCAAGTATTGGACTATCCCCGATGCATGTGGGTGACTCCGGCCCTTATGCACGTGCCACGTGCAAAACGAAGAGGTGTCAGTTTTGTAATTGTTGCAATATCTCGGTAACTACTTGGCCGATTGCGCTGGAAGTTGGCATGTAGGTAGGCACCCACTAGGCACTGCATATCCATGTGCCAGAGTTGGGGTGCTGCTGCACGTGCGCACGTGCAGGGGTCGTTTCCAGATCTCGAGAACGGCTGGACCGATGGCGCTCAAATTTGGTACACGGTTAGGGACCAGTTAGTAGGGTGCCGTGCACAAGTCAGTTGGGACCCATTTTGCACGTGCGCACGTGCAGGGTGCCGCTTCCAGATCTCGAGAACGGCTGGGCCGATTGTGCTCAAATTTGGCACATCGCTAGAGACCGGTTAGTAAGGTGCCGTGCACAAGTCAGTTGGAGGTACCCCTCGAAATTTCGCACGTGCAAGGCCCACCCTCTCGCTCGCTCCGTTACTCGCCCCAAAAGGCGTTATACTGGTAGATAAAGTGCCAATATTATTGTGGGGAAAGGTAGCCTCAAGCTTCCTCTACAACCTTTCTATCTAGCGTTTTTCGATGCG